GATTTTAGAGTATGAACTGCTCTAAAATGAATAGATGAACTTTTATATAGTTTTACTGGTTATCAATGTTTCAGAAATGAATGTTAAATCTGCGAATCTGACTTAAAAGGCCATTGTATGTGCATTGAGAGTCGTAGAAGTATTTCGACATAAATTGTATGAAATGGTTATCGATCGATTTTGTTTAATGTATAACGGTGCATTTTTGTATCAGTACTATGTGTACTTTCGACACTAGATGTGCAACTATGGTATTCATAATGCGATTGTGAATTACCATTTCGATATAAAATTATGTATAAAAGTTATCGATCGATTTTGTTTAATGCATAATGATGCATTTTTGTATCAATACTATGTGTACTTTCGGCACTATGTGTGCATCCATGGAATTCATAATGAGTTTCTGAATTTCCATTTCGACACTTTGATGCAATGCATGTACCTTGCATTCTCATTTGGCATACATTAGGAAAATAAAGGATAAATTGGAAAAATATTGATTGATAGGTATGCTGGGCATACTAAATATAATTTCGTAGGTTATGTGAATGAACATTGGGTTGCCAAGCCAGATTATGTATCAATATGATTTATATGAATTGAATTCGTAAATTGGTATTTTATGATATACATATGTTTAAATTACATCTTATTGTATTATTATGCTTCACTAAGTAAATACTTAGCGTGTGTTAGTTTCACGCAAAGGTAGTAGTAAAGACTAGCGCAGTAAGGAGTGCAACAAATATCATCAATCAAAGGTTCCCTCATCAATAACTATAGGACAATTATGTCTACTTTTGATAATTAAATGGCATGTAATAGATTTATGAAAATGCTCTGAAATGTATTTGAATTATGACTAATGTAGTATGTTATAACTTTAAGATTATTTTAACTACTGAAAGTTATGAATGTTTTATTTTAATTCACTAAAATGTTTTTTTATTGGAAACTTTTTTTACGGGTTTACAAATAAGTAAATGTTTTTAAAAGTCATGTGACACTTGTGAGCTGTGCACAGAAAACGTATACAGCAAATGGGTGTTAAATTATTGGTATCATATCTACATGTTTAACCGATTCTCGGCCAAAACCGGGTGTATTTTACTTTAAAAAGGATTTACATGCCACTAAGATTGTCAAGGTTATTGATATGGTGTCATTAGAATATGATTGATGTCACTCCTTATTAACTTGAGTGTTATTATTATGTATGTCCTATTAGATGATGGAATCTTCGAACTCACGAAGAGAGGTTGAATAAGAAGTAATAGAATGATCGGGTAGCGAAAGCTATGAACATAATAGTGAGCATCTGATCCAATCTGAAAATGCTAGTGCATTGGTATATCAGGGTATGCCAATGCCAGAGTTTGGAGCTTTTATACAAGCTATCGATGCTAATTTTGACACGGTTCCAACCTCCTCTGCCTTCCCCTACTGCTCTAGCACCGCGAATGTTGATCCCAAAAAGCTAAAAGGTTTGGGAGCTCATGAGTTTCGGGGGGAAGAGGATAAAGGTCATATGGAGGCTGATGTATGGTTAAACGATGTTATGGTGATGTTTGAAACTCTTCACTACTCGGATGCTGAAAAGTTGGGTGGAGCTCTATTTTTATTTTGAGGATCAGCTCGAGTGTGGTAAACCAAGACTACGATGTATGCACCACCGGAGTAAGTGACCTGGAAGTTCTTTCAGAAGGTATTTAAGAACAAATATATCGATGAGCAGTTTAGATGGGCAATGCTACTGAAGTTTCTTAATTTGAAACAAAGTGATCGAGCAGTACATGAGTATGAGGCTGAGTATAACAAGTTGAGTCATTTTGATACTGAAGTAGTTCCCAATGACAAAGCTCAGCGTGATTGGTTCATCAAGGGCTTGATGCCTAAGTTGAAAGAGATGATGTTGGCTTTAAATTTTACTAGCCTGCAAGAAGTTATAAACCGACCAAAACCCCTTGAAAAAGCTCAAGATGAGACTCTAGGAGAGGAGCAGAGTATGTAAACGGGAAAAAGAGTTGGAACGTCTTCAACTTCCTATTATGCTAAGAGAGGTAAGGGTTCGAGTTCACGATATACCGATAGAGATGGTCACTACTAGAAAAACCCCCTTTAATGACGCGCATTGAGCGTCATCTATGGGTGCAGATGATACACATATTCGTGTCATTGAAGCCACCGACATAAATATCAGATGACTCACAATTGTGTGTCATAAATCTATTACGCGCATTTATGACACGCATTTCTGACTCACATTTATGACGCGCATTTATGAAACTCATTGAGTGTCATTGAAGTCCCCGTCATAAATGAAGATGACACAAATTTGTATGTCATAAATTTATGACACGCATGTATGACTTACATTTTTGTGTCATTGAAGCCGTCGTCATAAGTAAAGATGACACATATTTGTATGACTAACATTCGTGTGTCGTGATTGTATTTCGTAAATTATATATATATATATATATATTGTAGATTGACAAATAATCAAACTAAATCATATTTAATGCCTCATAATACTAAATATATATATCATATTATATATAAGCAATCCATTTGTATATAATATATTCACCCTACAAATAGTTTGCAATAAACGATTAGTCAAAGAAAACAATGAAAATACGACATTGAGAAAGAACATATAACCATTATATATATATGCAATAATGCACTTTGTTTCCACATACTTAGAGCTTTGAGCATCTGGATAAAAGCCACAGATATGTGCAAATAGGCAGTGTTGCCAAACCTGTATTGACAACAAAAAAATGAGGATGCTTAGAATATGCAAAAACAATATCAACAAAAGGTAAGCAAAATAAAACAAAGATGTCAAAATTTTGCACAGCCAGTACATAATAAGCTCCATATCGTATAAGCAATTTGCAGCCTATAGCATAAACCTTTTTGTAACTCAACAGCTTAAATGCATTTAAAATTTAATTTTCATTAAAAGTATAAGAAAAACAAATTAGTGTTGTCAGAACCAGTATCAAGGCAAGGCATTAAGATATGAAAACACGGAACAAGATAAATGGCAATAATTCAACAAATTAGGATCCTGCTTAATTAAAAAACTTCATTATGCAGAGAAGGCAACTTGACCACTCCGCAAAACCCCCTTAACTTTAGTTCAAGTTTAAGAAACAAAATAAAAGATAAAACAATATATGTAGCATGTATTTCTACTGCATCTATACTTGATTTGAGCTTAACAATAATCATCTAGGTTTATTTAGTTGAGAATTTTCACAAACTCAAGTCAACCTACCAACTTGGGTGCAATAACTCTTTAACAACCATTAGGATAGGAAAGTAGACAGATCATTCAGGAACAATATTATACTTAAAACAAAAAAGAGTCTAAAACAAGCAACAAGTTCACAAGTAATACTCTGCTTTCAGTCTCGGTAGGGTTTTCAAGCAGTATGATTTTTTTACTGACAGAAGTAACTCATTACACAACACAAACCACACCATAATAAGGAAAACACTACACCACACACCAAACACAAATTCCAGTCATACCACAGTTAAATACTTACCAAAGACTTAATGCAAAGAAGGCACTTATAGGTATTGCACATGTTGTATATCTACAACACCGAGAACATCGATACTGTATCTAAGCAATAATTGAAAATAATAACGGCTATTTTAGATAAAGAATAGCACTTACATTTCAAATGTCATTTTGACAGCAGCTACAACCTACATGGCAAGATCGAGGGAGAGGAAAATGCATTACAAAACTGGACAAAACAATGGAAGATAAAGCTTGCATAGAAAAATAATATCTATGCTCTCAAATTTATATTTCGCCTCTGTAAGTAAAATACAAAGAACAAAAAAAACACAATGGATCTTTAGTTTCAGGTCATAAAGAGACCACTAAGTTCTGGAAATGGGGATAATGTAACAAAAAAAACACATTTTATTGTGACCAACTTAATTGACATTCCTACAGCTAGTTGCATTTGCATATATTGTTGAGACAGGAGTATGTGTATGTATGATATGACAGATGTGTATATGATATAATAAATGTTTATATATGATAGTTGTATTCTTTATTCTACAAGAAAATATACTAGTCCATATGATAGTTGCATGACTAATGTGTATGTATGATATGACAGATGTGTATCAGAAAAGTTTCTTATATTCTTATTGACCAGCACTTCAAGTCCATTCTCGACTATCTCTTTCAGCATTCGAAGCATTATTACCTTGCATCGAGATTCAACAACACAAGTTAAAACACTATGGGAACGAGAACTTTCAACATTGATACTAGTCACACCAGTACTTCTACTTGATAATCCCTACATCATTCATTCAGCATCTTATTACTGGAATAAATGGTTCCATCCATTTCTCTCAAGCTTGAGCTACTTGAGTAAATCAAGATTGAGTACTTTAATTAACTAACGCTTAAGGCTCTCCGCCCTTCATTTTTAATATAGTCAATATTTCTAAAAGAAACTAGTAAATGGATAAAATATAGTGATTAATGTACATATTAACAAATTATCAAACATAATTGAGTCCAGCAAGTTGAGCTTGAGTGTGTCGAGTTAATTACAAGAAGGGTTCAAGCATGAAAAATGAAGCTCAGTCAAGCTCAATACAAATTTAAAGTCGCAAGATTTCTTATAAAGCCGACTTTGAGCTTGGCGATGTATCAGTTCGACTCAGCTCAATAATATCCCTAATCATAGCACACATGAATAACTGACTAAACAACCTTTTTTCTTATATAGTAGTCAAATCTCCCATATTTTGTGTATTATTAGTTTCACAACTTTTTTTAATACTAGTCCTTCCTTTCAGCGAGAAAAAGCTAAAGTAGAAAGGGTACTGGATATCATTTTAATTTGTATACACATTATATGTACAAAATTTGAGTGCTCACCCCAGGTACAATACCATTTGCAACTTTCTATAAAAAAAAGATTCCATGTGTTGAGCCTGTTCACTCAGAAAACAAAAATGAAAGCAATGGATGAATCCATAGGAGGTGCACTGTAAAGAAATGAAAGCAACGGATCAGGTCCTGATTTTAGGAAGAAAGTGAAGACCATGACCTAGAAAGAAGATATTGATAATGTGCATCATGCAATTCCTTCCTCAAGGAAGAAAGAGGTGACAAAGAGTCGCCTTTATGAAAATTTAGTTTGTGGTTACTGTAATCATTGGTCAAGGGACACAGATCATGAAACTGAAAAGAATATGGCCTAAATTATATTAAAAAACCCCTCAAAGAAGCCTCATGGTCACACATAGAAAGTTAATATTTAAAATGGACCGGTTCAGAGAGATTTAGTAAAAGAAACAGGATGTCATGAGAAATAATTCAAACACAATGACATAATATTGAACGGGTAGTTGAAAGAATAGGGAAAAAGAAACTAAATAAGCAAAATCTTTCAACTAAAAAGTAAAACAAGGATATCTTGAAAATATTCTTGTGTTGTGTTGTGTTGTGGTCAACCATGTTCATACCCACTCTCTGAGCACAAACGGGGCATGCCTGCAATTATAAATGATATTGATTAACTGATCTTAAACATCATTTACATGTAAACTACAATTAAAACTAAATTATCTTTAAGTAACCCAATGATTCAGAGATTCAATAAGAATTCCTTTAGGTAAGGTCATCCCTAAACTTGTTCTTCTCAAATAGAAGACTTCATATCATGTAATAAGTATATTAAGGAAAGTTATGTTAACTATAATTAACACTGATAATGTACAAAGTCTTAACTCCTGCCAACAAACCAACACATATACAAAAGAGAGAGGGAGAGAGAATAGGGTCTCCCAACTTCAATAAATGACACCAAACTACATAAGCTTATAGGGCCTCTAGATTATGAATGAATGTTAGTTTCAAAAATACTATAGTTTTGCTGTGCAGCCGAGAAACCTAAGGCTAATTTGCGTTGGATTTATCCTAAAATGTTTAACTGTTTACTCTAAAAAGTTAAACAATTGGCAATAATCTTGGTTACAACGGAGAATGTTACATTGTTGCCGGTTTTAACCTAAAATGTTACCATGTCTACTCTAAAAAAGTTACATAATTGGTAATAATTTCGGTTACAACCGAGAATGTTACATTAGTTTCTTGACCAGCTTTTTAGATTGGAACCAGAATAGTTATGTAATTTACATGATTTGTAACGGAGAACGTAATATTTTTGGTTACAACCTAAAATGTTACCCAGTTTATTCTAAAGAGTTACGCACTTGGTAAGTCTTTCGGTTGCAACCAATTACAGCCGTTTTTTAGCCTTATATTAACTGGTTTTATTTTAGAACCCCTAAAAAATGGACATTATGTATGGACTAATAATAAAAGCCAGGTTTCCATTAAAAGCATGAAGATGAGAACAAAATTGTCTAGTAGCTTTAGCAATCATTCATTCACTAACAGTGAGGGAATAAATTAAAATTCATAAAATTTGGGCAAGAAGGATGAAGCCAATGATAATCATATAACCTTCCATGGGTAGAAAATAACAATTTAAGCCAGACAAAATTGCAATATGTTAGAAAGTGTTCATAAATTGAGTGACACTAGTTTGATAATACTGAATAAGAATGAGGGAAAGGAATCAAGTAATTCAGTTCCGATAACATATATTCATCAATCTAAGTTCCCATCTGGATTACCAAACATTGTCCAATACCCGATTCTCTTCCCTTAAGTGGCAAAGGCATAGCAATGTAAAAGGGATTCGTACAACAGAATTCAAAGAATTGACCGAGTTTGGCCATCTTTTGTTGGGTCAACTTATGCACAAGCGCTAACAGACCCCCCTTGTCTAACCATTTTTTACTGTCGATTACAAACTAAAGCATATTCGGGAAGTGTAAAATGTTCCTTAAATATCAATTCTAACAATCGTTCAAAACAAAATAAAAATTCACGCCTAAGAACAAATCCATAAAGGGCTTAATGCATACCCCATACCCAGCTTCAAGATGATGCTCCTCGTTGATATGGCAGGACAATCCAAGTAAATCAAAATCCTCCGAACAGTACGGGCAGGGGTATTCCATTATCAATTCATCATCTTCTTCAATCTCTTCAAAAGCAATACAAAGATCTGCTTCCAAAATCAATAACAACCTATTCGGTAACCACATAAAATTCGGAAAACAAAAAATCAAAATCAAAAGCAACAAAAAACAAACTAACTAACAAATAAAATACCAACCACTATGGGATTTAAGAGTGGATTGATAGCTCCTAGATGAAGCTGAGAAGGCAAAGCTCCAAGTATTATCCTCCATTGAAACTTTTAGATAACGCTTTAAACTGCAGGTTTGTTTGGATTTTGGAGGGGTAGGGTTTGGGGAAGAAGCATTCTCCATCTGATCTCTTAATATCGTGTTAACATGAATGCAAAGAGAAAAAGGGAAACATAGGTTTAGTGTGAAGGGAAGAAGAAGAAAAGGATGAAAATTATGGGGGGAATTAAAAGATGACTTTTACAGATCACAGACAATTAAAAGTGTACTCCGTGTTTTTGAAAATTTTTTGGATTATGACTATTAAATATGACACACGTTATTGTAAGTCATAAATCGTTCATATTTTAAGAAACATGACATTTTTTTATGACACGCATTTTTTGCAAGTCATAAATTAGCGTGTGTCATCGTTCGTGTGTCATTAAAGGTATCTTTTCTTGTAGTGGGTTCAGTTGTAGCTTCACAGAAAAATAAGCAATCATAGTCTTTTACTGCTAGCTCTGGTAGAGCATATGGAGAGAGAACTACTCCATGCCAGACGTGTGGTAAATATCACCGTAGAGTATGTAGATTGCTTAGTGGAGCTTGTTTCTAGTGTGGTGAAACTGGTCACTAAGCTCAAAATTTTCCTAAGAAACTGGGGAAAATTCAGTGCAATCTGAGAGAATGGTAGCAGCATCTAATAGAAGCAGATAAAGAGGTAGAATTCTAGATTGAAGTTTACCCGAGTACTAAACTTGTTTCTTTGGCTCCATATTGAATGGATCCAATGGAGTTAAGAGAATTAAATGCTCAATTGCAGGAGCTGCTCGATAAGAGATTTATCATACCCAGTGTTTCTCCTTGGGGAGCACATGTTCTTTTTGTGAAAAAGAATAACGGGTCTATGCGATTGTGCATAGATTATCTTTATTTAAATAAAGTAACCATAAATAATAAGTATCCTCTTCCAAGGATTGATGATATGTTCAATCAACTGAAAGGCGCAGCAGTGTTATCTAAGATAGACCTGAGGTCAGAATACCACCAATAAAATATTAAGGAGTAGGATTTTTGAAAAACAACTTTTTGAACTCAGTATGGACATTACATATTTGTGGTGATGCCATTCGTATTGACTAATGCTCTTGTAGTATTTATGGATTTGATGAATCGAGTATTCAAACCTTAACTGGATCAATTTGTGGTGGTATTTATCGATGATATTTTGGTGTATTCAAAGTCAATAGAGGAACATGATGCTTATCTACGTGTTGTTCTTCAGATTCTTTGAGAGAAGAAGTTGTATGCCAAATTTTCCAAATGTGAATTCTAGTTAGCAGAAATTGTTTTCCTTGGTCATATAGTCTCTACATAAGGCATAAGAGTAAATCCCAAAAAGATTCAAGTTATAGTGGATTAGCAACCCCAAAAGAATATTCCTAAAGTTTAGAGTTTCTTGGGGCTTTCTGGTTATTATAGATAGTTCGTGAAGAACTTCTCAATGTTAGCTTCGCTGCTAACTAAGTTGTTACAGAAATATGTGCCTTTTGTTTGGTCAGAGAAATGCCCAGAAAGTTTTAAAATGCTAAAGAGGATTGTAACAGAGACACCAGTGCTTGTACAACCTGAGTCAGGTAAAGACTATGTAGTCTTTAGTGATTAATCTCATAATGGATTGGGATGTGTGCTTATGCAAGATGGGAAAGTTTTGGCTTATGCCTCAAGATAGCTGAAAGTTTTGGCTTATGCCTCATGATAGCTGAATAATCACGAGATAAATTACCCTACGCATGACCTAGAATTAGCAGTGGTCATGTTTGTTTTGAAAATATGGTGTCATTATCTGTACAGTGAGCGGTGTCATATTTATACAGATCACAAAAGTATAAATTACTTGTTGACTCAAAAAGAACTACATTTTAGGCAGAGAAGATGGATCGAGCTTTTAAAAGATTATGATGTGATCATCGATTATCATCCAGGAAGGCTAATGTGGTAGCAGATGCACTTAGCCGAAAGACTTTTGCAGCTATACGAGCTTTGGATGTATTTATGTCTTTAAAGGAAGATGGTGCCTTGGTTGCTCGACTTAAGTTAAAGTTGATGCTCTTGGATTGGATAAAAGACCTTCAAGGACAAGATAAAAAATGCTTGGCAAGAATTACGCAAATGGCAAAAGGTGAGGCTAAAGACTTCAAAATCAGGACTAAATGATGTTTATATTATTGTGGAAGATTTTTTATTCCAAATAATGTTGAATTGTTGAAAGCTATTCTCTCCGAGGAACATTATAGTCCTTTAACGATGCACTCAGGCGGGAATAAGATGTATCAAGCTATAAAGAGTCATTATTGGTGGACTGGTATGAAAAGAGTTATATCAGAGTTTGTTGCAAAATTCCTGACATGTCAGCAAGTGAAAGTTGAGCATCAAGTTCCTTCCGGATTGCTACAACCGGTATCTATTCCTGAATGGAAATAGAAACGAATTGTAATGGATTTTGTTTCGAGGCTACCTTTTTCACCCATTAAAAAGGACTTAATTTGGGTAATTGTGGACAGCTTGACCAAGACAACTCACTTTATTGCAGTTCGGTAGATTACTCGATGGATAAATTCACAGAGTTGTATATAAAAGAGATTATTCAGCTGCATGGAGTACCATATTCAATAGTATCCGATGGAGAACTCAGGTTTACTTTAAAATTCTATAAGTCTTTGTACAAGGCATTGGGTACTCGATTAAATTTCAGTACGACTTTTCATCCACATATAGATGGTAAGTTGAAGCGAACTATTCAGATATTGGAGGATATGCTAAGAGCATGTATGATTAAATTCAAAGGATCATAGGAAAGATATTTTCCCCTAGAGAAATTTTCCTATAATAACAATTACCAATCGAGTATTAAGATGGCTCCATATGAAGCCTTGTATGGGAGGAAGTGTCGAACACCATTAAATTGGTTTGAGCTAAAAGTTTGAGATCTAGGTGGCCCATACTTAATGAAAAAATGGAAGATAAAGTGAAAGTTATCCAAGTTAATCTGAAGATAGCCTCCAATCAACAAAATTCTTATACTTATCTGAAAAGAAAAAAGATTGAATATCATGTGGGGGATAAGGTATTTCTGAAAGTATCGCCTTGGAAGAAAGTATTGCAATTTGGACGCAAAGGAAAGTTGAGCCCGAGATTTATTGGACCTTATGAAATTCTAAAAGAGGTCGGACCACCAGCTTATCAGTTAGTTTTGCCTCCTAATATAGATAAGATCCACAATGTTTTTCATGTATCGATGCTCAGGAAGTTCCGATCAGATCCATCGCATATCATCACACCATACGAAATAGAGATCTGGCTAGATTTGACTTAGGACGAAGAACCCGTAAGGATCTTAGCTCGAGAGAACAAAGAAATGCGTAACAAGAAGATTCCTCTAGTTAAAGTACTTTGGCAAAATCATAAAGTTGAGGAGGCTACTTGGTAAAGAGAGAAAGACATGAGGAAGCAGTTTCTACACCTCTTCGTATCAGGTATGTAACACCCATAACCCGTATAATTATACCTATACAGATTATAGATGTTACCCGAATTTCTAAAAACCATTTCCAAATTTCTATATGATTTAAAATTTATTTCCTTAAAATGGTAAATGATGTTATATAAATATCATATCATATGAATTTTGTTTCATTATAACAAATTTAAAACAAAAGATTTTTTTTTGTTTTATGAATAGTGAATAGTGAACATTACCCGTAAACAGGGAACCATGTATCGATGCACTGCTACAGTAAGTGAATAGTGTACCCATGCACAAAACATCGAATTAAGATTGTGTATCGATGCACTGCCATAGTAATTTCTGAAAAATACATATAAAACTCATAAAAATTTAACCTTTCATCACTATAAAAGTTACCATTTTGTTTCCAAATTTATTCAACAAAACAAATTGAATATTATTAATTACATGCCACTATCTAAATCAAATTCCATCATAGGATGTCTTACTGATATTGAAATATACTCCTCGATGCTTGATGTCACGTTGAACTCTTTATTCCATTACTGACTTTTTACCTATGCGTGAAAATCATCACACGCTAAGTATAAACTTAGTGAGGCAATTAAAACAATATACAGTGCAATACAATTCATACATGATTTTCAATGTCAAATTCAAAATGCCATAAAATTATTTTATTTGCATATCCAATATTTTACCATTTATTAACCATAAGCTCGTAAGATTATTTTACCAAAATACTTACCATTTTTACCATAAGCTCATAAGCTTATTTTACCCATATACTCACCATTATTCCATAAGCTTGTAAGCTTATTTGTATGCTTACCATTTATTAAGCAATAAACCATAAATCATAGCCCATAGTATAACTTTATGAGGAACCCGGTATAGGAGTCAAATATTGCACCGAAGTGCTGAGGTCCAGCTTTGCTCACCTAATAATGAATCGTAGTGCTGAGGTCGGGATTTACCCACCTAGTACACCGTAGTGTTTGTACCGTGTCTTCACTAGACACTAAGGCCTGCACTATGTGCCTTCTCTAGACACTCTAGTGCTACCTAACATTGCAGTTTCTAGACTCATGACATGCCAATAATACCACTGAACCTCAATAACATACTAGGGCATATAGTTAATTTTATTTGATCCATCCATGGAAAAGTATATCAATACCATTTAACATTGGGCAGTTCATACCCATAATATCATTCATGATAAAAAATCATATATATTCATGATAACATCATATGCAAAAATCAGTGATCAATGCATTTTATATTACACCTTTGACATATTTAGAATATGTCAAATATATGATAAATGACATAATATCATGCTACTATAAACAAGGTTGACTTATCGCAAGTCTTTGTGATGATGTATAAAACATCCATGTATAATTTCATGCATGTATTGCACTTACCTTTACACTTTATAATTTTCCAAATACATGTGCCTCACTATTTTCCACAATAAACCTTTTTCTTTTATACTCGAGTCGTTTTGAACACCGAGTAATTCGCGATATGTTCAAAATATAGATTCATATCCATATATATGTTAGTATTGTACAAACATAAATACATTTCCAAAATAAATTCCATAATATACTTGAACTCATTTTTTTATCAAAATACTCAATACTTAATAATTCCTTTTAATATTGGAACCAAC